AGAGAGAGAGAGAGAGAGAGAGAGAGAGAGAGAGAGAGAGAGAGAGAGAGAGAGAGAGAGAGCACGTTCAAACCACACCCTCGTGTCTGTCCAGCTGCACTGATAAACAATGAAGGGATATCCTTGTTTTCACAAGCGGCAGAAAGACAAAGAATGACACCTCTCTTTCCAGTTATTAGAGAGCAGCAGCAATGAGGAGGAGGACTTTCGATAGATGAGAACATGAAGTCTTTTACACTGCAACAAAAAATCCTGAAGTGATGTGTTCTGATTTTTCTTTTGGGTGGAATGTTAATCAGAGGTGAAGCAGATTCTTCTTTGATCTGTGAACAGGTTTTTATCTTCAACATTACGAGTTTTTTTTTACATAGGCAGTAGGTGGCGCCAAATCTCCAGCAGCAAGTGATGCGTACGCTGATCGTTTGATGTTTTTCCAGAACATTCGATGAGATCAGTTTGACCTGGAGTAACCCATTAACACATACGTGCCATTTTGAACCTTCACTTCAGATAAAGACTCCGCTGCAACCTAAAAAAAAAAGAATCAACGAAAACATAGATGGTCTTTAAAAGGGTCTTAGAAAGGTCTTCAGTGAGCTCCTTGTTACATGGGATGGAGCATGAGAAGTTTGTTGCACAAAACTTTCACAGTGAGGTCGTGAGCATAGGTGTGGATTGGTCATAAAGAATCTGAAGTAGGACTATTAGTCCCCATCACATTCACACCTCTCTGGCAGAGCTCCAAATTAGTCATTGTAAAGCTCTCAGCACATGGTCAACCCATCCTCTGCTATAAATACAGTCACCACACTCAGCCATCCTTCATTCAACTTTAGAACTCAAAGCACGAAGCATTTGATCTCATCTCCATCACTATAACCAGATCTGGGTGTTCGGAGATTTCACGATAGAAGAAACTTAAACAGAATTTCTTCAAATCAAAGATGATGCTGATAAAATATTTTAGTTTTATGGTTCTCTGTGATTATAAAGCAGCATTCATTAATGTGCATGATACATGCATATTTAATGCAGCATGACAAAATGATTAAGTGCACAGTTCTGGTACCTGGCTCAGTTCTGTGGTGGATTTTACAAGGTTCTTTACAAAACTGGAGACCTGCAGGTTAGGCTGGAGGACTTCCAGAAAAAGGTTTTCTTGTTGCTGCAGCAACAAAAGGGATGCTAAATCAGAATCAGGTTAGCGAAGGAGGTGTCTTTATCCATCTGGTCTGGTTTAACAGTTCTGAAACATTTAATTTTGCAGACTGTGGCCAGGTCATGGAAATTTCTAGCCTGGCCATTGCCTTCCTACGCAATTTCACTCGATTCCAGTCTCCCTTCTCTGCTCCTCTGTACGAAACACAGCCAAGAACAAGGGGCTGGTTTTTAGCAGGCTAGGAAATGCCATGTTCTTAGCTGCATCCTGGTGCAGTCTGAAAGCTTAGGACCATACCACTGTGTAATCGTAAGTGAACATGTCAATATTGTCAAGGGAACGTCTTGCTGACGTACAGAGCATAGTGAAGGTGCAGGAGAGCATCTTGGTGATCTCAGATATTAGAAAAACCTTTATGGTGAGAACTACAGGCATGATTAGAGTAGCTTGGTCCAGAATCAGGGTCATTGTCCTCTAATCAGAGGATCACAAGTTCAACTCAAGGAACTGCAGAGCAATGAAGTGTCCTTTGAAAATGCTCTGTACACCCTACTGCCCACTGATATGCTTATTGGTGTAAAGAATTTAAAAGTGAAGTATACTATATTGCCAAAAGTATTTTCTCACTCATCCAAATGACAAAGCAAGGTCCATAAAGACATGGATGGCAGAGTCTGGGTGAACTTGATTGACCTGCACAGAGTCCTGACCTCAACCTGATAGAACACCTTTGGGATGAATTAGAGCGGAGACTGAGAGCCAGGCCTTCTGTCCAACATCAGTATGTGACCTCACAAATGTGCTTCTAGAAGAATGGTCGAAAATCCCCATAAACACTCCTAAACTTTGTAGACAGCCTTCAGAAGAGCTGAAGCTGTTCTATCTGCAAAGGGTGGACCAACGTCATATTAAACCCTATGGATTAGGAATGGGATGACACTGAAGATCATATGTGAGTCAAGGCAAGTGAGTGAATACTTTTGGCAATATAGTGCAAAAAAACCTACATATTGGAAAGCACTGTATGCGTGTGTGTGTGTGTGTGTGCGTGCGTGCGTGCGTGCGTGCGTGCGTGCGTGCGTGTGTGTGTGTAGAAGAGGTTAAAAAAGTGCTACAGAAGAGTAGACCGTTTATCATTTGCCACTGCCTTCACACTAAAGGGATTTTCCAGATGTGCTGCAATTCAGTCTATAGGTTGTTGAGGTCACTGAGCGTTAACTAATTAATTTATTTTTTTGATTAGACAATAACATCTCTGTTCAAACTTATCTGTTCTGTGGCTTTATTATTAACCAGCTGCAGCACAAACCTGTTGTTCCTTTCCCCAGTGACTATATCAAATACAAGACATTCCAGTTTACTGAACAGATTTTCAGTAAGCGTATATGAAAAACTTAAAAGTAAAGGCTAAATTCCTTTAGATAGTCTCAAATTGCTCTACAAGTACAAGCAGAAATAAAACACAACACAAGCAGTTGTTATCCCGTATTTTAACATCAAATACATTAACATTAAACCTTGATTTATAGATAATGGTGTTCAGATCATACCTCCTTCACGTGAGCATCATCGAAGTACATCCATCTTCTGATTTTAGTCTGGAAGAAGAAGGTGGAGTAGTGTTTCCCGTAATAACAGACCATTCCTACCAGGTAAAGCTCTGCCTGTCGAGCCTTTTCTTCCGTCACTCTGTAAAACAGCTGCGGAGAAAAGATCAGATCATCACAAATGCTGATGATGCAGAGGTTTATCTGTCAGATCTGGTTCCCCTCTCAGGTCTTACATCACCAAGGCGCAAGCAGGTACCCAGTGTGTGGATGACGTCCTCAGCCAGATCCGAATGATCCGAGTCCCAAACCAGGCCGATGGTGATGATCTCCGGACTGTTGAGGAGCACACGAGCCATGCGGAGCTGCTGACCACATTGACTCTGAGGAGGAGGGGATAGATGGTAAATCTGAGTCTCTGTAGAACCAGTTCATGTTTGTTTACTGAAGCCTTACAGGACAGCTGCGCAGGTCTCCCATGCTGGCATTTCGTAACAGCTCCCCAAACATGCTTGGAGTTGCCTTCTCCCTCGACTCCAACATCTTCACAGCTTGGTTACTGAGGAGGAGAACAGTTTGTGTTTGTCATTTTACTGTTCTGCATTTAAAGAAGCTACAGCTCTGAGTTGTGGAGTTCCTCAAGGGTCTATTTTGGGATACTTATGGCCTGATCTACTAAGATCCCAGATAACAAGCCCTAAATTGCGTGTGCAAACTAAAAAAGAGAATAACTGGGCATGTTATGGGTGATCTACTGAGATTGTGTTTATGTGTTGATAGCAGATGCAAAAGTGGCACAGACCACCTTTTTGAAATGAGTATTTTCCGTTAGTGGCTGTCATCATGGAGAGTTTGAGAGAGCACATAAGAAAAACTACTCTGGTAGATGCCAGTGTTAACTGTGTTTTATTTCTGACAGTCCAAATATGTTGATACATGCACAGAACATTTTCTCTCTCTGTCATCTGTCATTCTACAGACAGTTGTTCGTAATGTGGTGCTAAATTATTACATTTGCATTTCCTCCCACCTAGGTTTTGGAGTTTTGGTTTTGGCTAATCATGTATTCTGCATATTCTTGACAGAAAACATGCTAAATGGATTTAGTCTGATATTTTGCTCATTTGTCAGATGCAGTCCTTGGCTTTGTGTGCGCTATCAGTAGATCAAGTCAATAGAATTTGCTGCTATTGGAGTCTACGTTTAGAAAAAAATATCCTTTTGATTGCTTTGATAGTACAAACCCCAAAACCAGAAAAGTTGGCACGTTGTGTAAATCGTAAATAAAAACAAAATACAATGACTTGCAAATCTTTTTCAACCCATATTCAGCTGAATATAATGCAAAGACAATATATTAAATGTTTGAACGGAGAAACTTTATTTTGTTTTGCAAATAACCATTAACTTAGAATTTAATGGAAGCAACACATTGCAAAAAAGGTGGCACAGGGACATTTTTACCACTGTGTTACATCGCCTTTCCTTTTAACAACACTCAGTAAACGTTTGGGAACTGAGGAGACCAATTTTTGAAGCTTTTAAGGTGGAATTCTTCCCCATTCTTGCTTGATGTACAGCTTAAGTTGTTCAACAGTCTGGTGTCTCCGTTGTCGTATTTTACATTTCATAATGCACCACACATTTTCAACGGGGGACAGGTCTGGACTGCAGGCAGGCCAGGGGAGGACCCGCACTCTTTTGCTACGAAGCCACGCTGTTGTAACACGTGCAGAATGTGGCTTGGCATTGTCTTGCTGAAATAAGCAGGGGCGTCCATGAAAAAGACGTCGCTTGGATGGCAGCATATGTTGCTCCAAAACCTGTATGTACCTTTCAGCATTAATGGTGCCTTCACAGATGTGTAAGTTACCCATGCCTTGGGCACTGATGCACTCCCATACCATCACAGATGCTGGCTTTTGAACTTTGCGCCTATAACAGTCCGGATGGTTCTTTTCCTCTTTGGTCCGGAAGACACGACGTCCACAGTTTCCAAAGACAATTTGAAATGTGGACTCATCAGACCACAGAAYACTTTTCCACTTTGCATCAGTCCATCTTAGATGAGCTCGGGCCCAGCAAAGCCGGCGGCGTTTCTGGATCTTGTTGATAAATGGCTTTTGCTTTGCATAGTAGAGCTTTAACTTGCACTTACAGATGTAGCGTCGAACTGTAGTTACTGACAGTGGTTTTCTGAAGTATTCCTGAGCCCATGTGGTGATATCCTTTACACATTGATGTCAGTTTTTGATGCAGTACCGCCTGAGGGATCGAAGGTCACGGGCATTCAGTGTTGGTTTTTGGCCTTGCCCCTTACAGATTCTCTGAACCTTTTGATGATATTACGGACCGTAGATGGTGAAATTCCTAAATTACTTGCAATAGCTCGTTGAGAAAAGTTGTTCTTGAACTGTTCGACAATTTGCCCACGCATTTGTTCACAAAGTGGTGACCCTCGCCCCATCCTTCTAAGTGAATGACTGAGCATGTCAAGGAAGCTGCTTTTATACCCAATCATGGCACCCACCTGTTCCCAATTAGCATGTTCACCTGTGGGATATTCCAAAAAAGTGTTTGATGAGCATTCCTCAAATTTCTCTGTCTTCTTTGTCACTTGTGCCAGCTTTTTTGAAACATGTTGCAGGCTTCAAATTCCAAATGAGCTAATATTTGCAAAAGATAACAAAGTTTACCAGTTCGAACGTTAGGTATGTGGTCTTTGCAGTGTGTTCAATTGAATATAGGTTGAAATTGATTTGCAAGTCATTGTATTCTGTTTTTATTTACAATTTACACAACGTGCCAACTTTTCTGGTTTTGGGGTTTGTAATATCCAGAATTATTTCACTGTTGAACACAGAGACAACACAATTTGTAAAAATTAACTTTCTAAGAAAACAGAATTAATTTGCCAGACATCTTAAAGGGCACCTATTATGCAAAACTCTTTTTTTTTTCATGTTTTCAAACTTACTTTTGGGTCTCTACTGCTTAGAGAAGCAGTCCAAACACCAAAAAAAAGCACCCAGCCATTTTTAACTGTAATTACATGTATTTTTAGGTATTTGGAAACACGGTATTTCTCAAAGCACGTTATTCTGACGTCACAATAACAGTCACCTAGCAACCTAAACCAGAGTCCTGCTCCTTACGAGGCAACCTGAGGTGAAGCTCCACCCACTTCCTCAAGGGACGATAGTTGTTCTGTTTTTACAGCAGCCATGGAGAACAGCGATGCCTGGATTAATTTTATTTTTTATCTTTGATGACAATGTTCTAACAATATTGCCAAAGAAAGCTGTAGTTTGTGAAAATAATTTCACTTTGGAAACTTCTACCATGTCAGGGGGCGGAGTTAATGTAAACAAACGGAATGGAGGGGGATTTCCATTGCAACTTCTGCATACAGCACGAGCTGGAGAGAGCTGAAGAGGCAGAACTAAAAAAATGAAATTTTGATTTTTGAGATTCTTTTTGTGAATTAAATCAAATGAACATGTTTTGTATAGCCCACAGATGGATCCTAACTTGTGCTAAGACCCCCTTAATAGGTCACCTTTAAGTTAATATTAGTGATTTCAAATGAGTGTTTTAGGAACTGTTAGTGACATTAAGGAGAAGTTAAATGCCTTTGTGTGTTTACATTCACACTGCCATGTCATGTAGATTTATTCATGAAATTCTATCTTTTCATTTACTGTAGTCTGCTTTTGCCGGTCATATTAAAAGCTAGATGAACATATAATTTTGGTCTTGCCTGTTTCCAGACAGATGTGAGGATTTTATTTTTCCTCTTTAAAACATTAAATAGACCAGCAGCTTGTTATTTAGCAGATGTTCAACGTTCACAACTCTGTGATAGTTCTGTAGTTCATGAGTTTGTTCTCTTTATACACAAACCTCACAGAACGAACAAGTTTAAATCTTTGCTTGAGACTCACCCTTTGATTTGAGTAAAACAAAAATCATAGTTTGTGCATTTATTCTGTATGACAGAGTATTAGGGCCACACAACAAGATTGTTTTAAATTTTTTTACATTACAAAAATAAAGACATTATATTACATTAAGATCGTATGAAAGTTATAATATTATGAGAATAAAGCCACAATATTATGAGAATAAAGTCATAATATTACGAGATTAAAGTCGTGATATTACGAGAATAATGTCATAATATGAGCATAAAGTCTTAATATTACGAGATTAATGCTGTGATATTACGAGATTAAAGTCATAATATTATGAAAATAAAGCTGTAATATTACGAGATTAAAGTCATAATATTATGATAATAAAGACATATGAGAATAAAGTCATAATATTACGAGATTAAAGTCATAATATGAGAATAAAGTCATAATATTACGAGATTAAAGTCGTGATATTACGACATTAAAGCCATAATATTATGAAAATAAAGTTGTAATATTACGAGATTAAAGTCATAATATTATGAGAATAAAGTTGTAATATGAGATTAAAGTCATAATATTATGAGAATAAAGTCGTAAAATTACAAGATTAAAGTCATAATATTACATTATATTATGAAAATAAATATTATATATTTATATATAATTGATGGATAGAGCTTCATCAGAGCTAAACAACCAAAAAAAATCTGAATTTGCAGGTGTGAGGAAAATAAGGAGGAAATGAGGAACGGAAAATGGACACGTCATGTAAGATTACGACTTTATTCTTGTAATAATAATTTAAAAAAAACTTGTTTTGTGGCCCTAATACTCTGTCGTAATTCTGTTATTGTCATAAGGTTAGAATAAACAGCTGGAAGACATCTGCACATCTTCTTCTCCATCAGTCGCTGACTTTTTCCCGTCTGAGCAGCAGAAACTCCTCAGGTATCATGATCAAACATATCAGTTGCCTAGGTGACCCTGATGTGTTGCCTAGCGACCGCAGTGTGAGGGTGTGTGGCCTGAAGTTTGTAATTGTGAGTTTGCAGCTAAAGATAGAGCCGCTGACAGAAACGTACCACAGGGAGGTGGTGGAGATGTAGTGAACCATCTGAATGAAGGGCAGAGGGTCTGAAGACGCGCCACAGCTGCTGCACACACACTGACACACACACAGAAACCACAGGTCAGCAACACACACGGCAGACATGAAAACACAACTGGCAAATGTTTCGACACCTAAATGGCCCCAAACAAGAACTGATGTGATAATCTGCAGATATTAGACGCCTTCTCTAATACAAAACAAACCCAACTGAAGTTCAAAACACTCTGAACAAAATGTGTTTGAAGTTTAGTTTTCTCTGGAAAAAAAACTAACACTTCCTGACGTAAGCATCTTAAACTCTCAGTTTTAAATAACTATTAAGAACACAGCTTCATCTGTATTCTTGTCTGAAAACGTGTGAATGCGCAGGCTGCCTGGCAAAACAAACTCAGGGCAGCAAATACCCAACAGGGTTTCCTGTTATGCTCAGTTCAGAGTTTTATAATCAATAACGACAAAGATGAACCAACAACAACGTGAGCCACATTCATGATGCTTTTTCCATTGTTTACTTTAAATATAACTAATCAAATTCTGCTAACTGCATCCAGATGAGTTACAGACAAAAAAACAAAACATGAACTAACAGAGAAAAACATTTTCATTGTTAAATTAAACATATAAAAAGTTACTTTTTTAAACATGAAGAGATGATGTTTGATTCTGTCACAAAATGAAGCAATAACAGCCTGGCAGGATGTTCCTTTACTGTATTTAGATCCACTTTAATGAAAATAACCAGCTAAACAAATGAGGATGAGACTGAACCTGACAAATGGACGAAAGAAAAACACTCAGCTTTTCAGATCATTTTCAGTGTTAGTCTGAGTTAAGGGGGTTATATCATGTGTTTCTCATGCATTTATTTAAATTCTATACCATAATAAAGTAACTATGTCACCTTCAGTTATCAATAATGTTGTTTATATGTTTAAATAGAAAATAAACTTGACTTCTCATCATATCTGTTTCTAAACACCTTGTAATTGGCCTCTGTCTTTTTAATGAACCTCCTTCCTCTTCTGTCCCACCCATTTCAGCACAGGGCCTGGTGTGTGTGTGTGTGTGTGTGTGTGCTCTGTGATGAGGAAGCTCAGCTTGGAGACACAGTTCAGAGGAGGAGCTGGTCCCAAAAGGAGGTTCTAGGCCCAACTGGTGGTTTTTGGTCCCCTGCCTGCTGCCTCAGGACACTACAGGATTTATCAAACATGCACGAATGAGTCAAAGTAAGACTCTGGGCATGTTTTTGATGACAGGATAACATTATAACATGATATAAAACTCAAAAAAGTTGATTTTACATGATATTGCCCCTTTAAGTTTGATGTTGTAAACTTACAGGATGAATCCTGAAAACTGAAGTTTTCACAGTAATCTCAGTCATTGCTAAAAAGAAAAGAACTTAAATCTTTCACTTTTTTAAAATCAGCAGCAAGGATGTAGTTCAAAATAATTCCAAATAAAATCAGTAAATCTTGACATGACTCAGATTTCATATGTTTTGTGTAAACCCGAAGGCACTGCAGTGACAGATGGAAGGTGTATTAGTTTTGTCAGACCTCAGCTGTCTCACCTGTTCGAACAGCGTCATGGCGAACTTCTGATGAGGGATGCAGTGTCTGGCTGTGCAGATGTCCTCTTTGGTCTCGTCTGAGATGTGGAAGTGGATCCTCATCAGGATGTTCTCCTGTAGAACAACGGAGCTTGAGTAAATCCCTGACAGATCAGGTTTCAGGTGTCTTGGGCGACTCGGGTGACTCACGAAGCACTCCGCAGCGTCGTCCATGATGCCGAGCTGAAACCTCTGCTCGTCCTGGAAGGTTTTGGCGAGCGCGCTGCGCAGCGCGTCGGACGGCAACACTTTCTCGCTGCTGTACTGGAACTGAGCGAAGATGCTCTGAGGGAGGAGAGGAAACAGGGAGGTGAGGCCGGTTCAGGGTCCAACCCTGCTATTAGACAAGTTCTCACCTTCAGAGCGCAGAAAATACACGAGTCCGCCATGCACTTGTGGTTGGTGAGCTGACGGAAACTTCGTCGAAAGATGTCGAGGTGCCAGAGGACCTGAAACACACAAACAAGAGGACAGTTGAAAACATAAAAAATGCTGCTGCAAGCTCAAAGTCTGCAGGCTGGCTTTAAATTAAATAAAATATTAATCCTAAAAAAGGTGATTTTTTTTTGTTTTGTTGAAAACTGAAATAAAAAAACAGGCAGAACTTACAGCAGAGAAATTTAATATTTTACCCTTCAAAAATCAAAGGATTATCACTATACTGCAAGTATCAAAATGTTAATATTCAAGTGAAATCATCCAATAAAGAGAAACATTCTTAGGTGTCCACGATGACTCCCTGACAGTCCTGATGCCTCTGAGTTTCTGTCTCTGCTCAGTTCAACAGTTCAAGCCCCTCTTCAGTCAAAACATGTGATAAATTGACATAATTTGTCAGCCAATCATCTGTCAGCACAGCTTCGACTGAGCTCAGAACAAACCGACCAATCAGAGACAGAGTTTAGAACCATGAGAAGTTATGGAAGTGAAGAGGCCGAGTGTGTCAGCCTGAGTTAACCTGCTTCAGACAAACCACCTGAACTCCTGACAGACGACACATTCAGATGAGATGATGGGAGATGGAGTGAGAGCGCCCGGAGGAGGAGCAGCATTATTTTTGTTTAACAGAGAAAACCGGACAAATAAACAAGTAGTGACAGAACGCACATGTATGTTGTTGTGTACATGTGCCAGAACTACATCTAATCAAAACGGACAGAAGACGTCTCTGCCAGAAACAGTTTATAAAAACGAACGCTGCTTATTTTGACACTGAAGAATATAAAGTTTTATTTACAGAGCAGGATTTAACCAACACTGATACGTTGTTTTTGCTTCATAATGTGTTTGAATATCAAAACAACCACAAGGAAAAGGAACTAAATTAACATAAAACTTACAAACAAAATAATGCAGTCTTTATTTATTTTTTTTATTTATTTTCTAAAGTTTCCGGAACAGACAACATAAAAAAGTGACAAAACTGGGAGGGAGTGACAGTAACAAATAATAGTGATTCCTTGCACCATTACACCCTTAAAACAATCTGTAAAGCAAATTAAGCAGTACTATACAGTATATATAGCACGGTGGCTCAGTTGGTAGAGCTGATGCCTCTCAGCAAGAAGGTCACCGGTTCAAATCCCGGTCTGGGGACCTTTCTGGGTAGAGTTTGCATGTTCTCTCCGTGCATGCGTGGGTTCTCTCCGGGTACTCTGGCTTCCTCCCACAGACCAAAAACATGACTGTTAGGTTAATTGATAACTCTAAATTGTCCCTAGGTGTGAGTGAGAGAGTGAATGGTTGTTTGTCTTGTTTGTCTCTATGTGTGGCCCTGTGATGGACTTGTGACCTGTCCAGGGTGTACCCCGCCCCTCGCACTGTGACTGCTGGATATGGGCACCAGTGACCCACGCAACCCTGAAAAAAAAAAGGAAGAAGCATGTACAGAAAATGGATGGATGGATGGATATACAGTATACAAAAAGTCTTTTGTTACGGTAAAAAAAATAACTATTAAAAACTTGCTATACTAAAATAAAGACAAAACTGACCTCAAGTTTAACAAAAAAAAAGTAAACGCACTTCTTCATTATAAAAGTTATAAAATTAAAGCTGTACACCAGAGAAATACCAGAATTCAGTATTGAATTATTATTATTAAGTAATGATTGAGAATAAACCTGATTTGTTACCTCCGCCAAGGAGGTAATGTTTTCGGTCGCATATGTCTGTCTGTCTGTGGACAGCATAACTCAAAAACGCGTGGACGGATTGTCATGATATTTACAACACATGTTCATACTAACAGACGTAACACACCATTAAATTTTGGTGATGTTTCGGATCACGATGCGGACACAGGATTATTTCTTTTAATTCGAGCGAATCACAGCAAGAAGTTGCGAGCTCCCCCAGCCCTGCACAGAACTTCAGGAACGTGTTGCTACGTTACGGGAATGACTGATGCGTGGCGCAACCGAGCCGAACCTGGTACCTGGTACTGGCCCACGAGCTGAACCACCGGTCCCCCGCCTGTCGTCTGCGCGCGGTGGTTCACTTCAGCCCCTGAACCACTGGCCCAGACGCAGATCAGAGGGCCGTTGGTTCAGTCCGTGAACCGGCCCACAGGCTGGAGTGAACCCCCGCGCGCAGACAACAGGCGGGGGACCGGTGGTTCAGCTCATGTGTTGGCACCAGGTTCGGCTACTAATACCTCAGAAGATGAATTTGAAAAGTCTTCCAGCTAGATCTAACAGAGATGTGCAGTGCTCCAGCTCATCATTTCACTGTGGAACATCACCTGTCAGTCACCAGGGGCACAACAAGTGGGGGCGGCCACGGGGGGCTGTGCCCCACCAGTTTTAACCTCTTGAGTCCCAAGCTTTGTGCTTATTTAAATATTTCCCAGCTATATAAGATTAGTAGAACCTTATAAATATAAACGTTTTTTGAAAAACTAAGAATTAAAAATATGAATACATATTTTATTTAAAATAAAAAACTTAAAATAGTTCATCTGAAAAAAGACAACTTGTATAGAATAAATGTCCTCAATATCAGGATGAAGCTTTTCATGAGGTTAGAGGCATTAAATAAATCAATATTTTTAAGCAATATATACTTCTATTTTCAAACTGTAGATGTTTCTCTTCCCATCAGGGAGGCTTTSTCAGTTGAAAATATTTGGAGTGGGAGCTTTAGAGCTTCATGAAGGTCTATAACTTAGAACACAGAATAGAAATCTGTCCCCAAACTGGACCATGATGCTTTGCGTTAGGCAAAGATGGCGGTATCCACGATATATTACATTGCAGGATGGGGAAAATTGGTCTTGGCGGAGGTTTGCACTCTCCGGGTGCTTCTAGTTTTGAATGTTTTCGTTTATTGCAAGATTTTTTTTAAATGACACTTTTCACTTTAAATGTCTTTTAGCCTAATGATGTTCAAATTACACCTTAACCACTAGATGTCACTAGTGCTCACACTGTTCCTTTAATGATGTAGTTTAAATGCAATAAAGTTGTAAAAATATTGAACAATCTGTCCCACTAGGGACTTTATTTATTTTTTTCTTGGCATTTATTTGATGAAAAACATTCAATGCACTCATCAACTTGCACTCTGGATTATTTTAAAGAACTTAAAAAATTTTATTTTGATGCCCATTTTGTTACTGGGTATCCATAAAATGAATAACTGTTATTCCAAACCCTGTGCACATAAGCAGGGGTAGACATAAGGATATTTTTCAGGTTGTCCAGCAGACAACCTGTTGACAAAACCTGGTTGTCCACAAAACCTTTTGGTTGTCCAAAAGAATCTCAAGAAAAATGTAATTTAACAAGTATGTTGTCCTGTAGACCAAGTTTATTATATATAATTGTTCTCAGTCAGCCAGGCTGACAGGATCTGTGTGAAAAAAAACGTCTTCGTTCTCTTCTTTGAAATAGAGTTCAACATTCATAAGCTTCTTTCTGCTCATAGGTCCAATATTTTCACTTAAATAGGAGTATCCTGTGTACAAGACCTTATTAAAAGTTACAGTTTAGTGTTCTGTTTAGCTTTACCAAGTTTTTTCCTCCCTTTCATTTTTACAAATAATGAACACCCACGTCAGAGAACTTTAACCAAGGTCCTTTTTTTTCTTGGTTGTCCACCGGACAACCAGGAGACAGGATCTGGTTGTCCGAAATGAAAATAGGTTGTCTCGGACAACCTAAACAATGGTTATGTCTACCCCTGCGTAAGATTCAGATTAATTCATCCCAGTACCTGAATCTCAGGCTGATGTTGTGTTTGTTATGGCAACCAGACTTTTCATAACAGGATCAGAGTCTGTCGGTTCAAACACAGCTAGCAGCCTGCAGCTGATTTCAGATGGTTCAGTCAGAACTAAAAGGATTAATGTGTCGCTGAAAAAAACCTTCATGTGTTTAAAACCTAAATCAGAATCAGAAAAGAAAACTGCAACCCTTCAGGTGAACATTGCTGGTCTCCTGCTGAGTCTCAGGAATCCAGACAGGAATTTTTTTCATCACTTGACTTAAGAGGTGGGTTTTAAAAAACGGAGGCTGCAGAGGTCAGGATGACTGACAGGTTCTGATTCAGTTCAGCTGTGGAAACACAGAGCAGTTCTGCTACTCAACTGTTCCTTTGATCAGAAAAGGAAACTGGAAGATGATTTCAAATAATTTGAGAAGATTCAGACTATAATCTACCATTTTGAAAACTTTTTTTTTAGATTTTTGCAGTGCATAATCAGAACCCATTTGGGTTTTATTTGATAATTGGCTGAAACTTCTCAATGAGGAACACAATATAACATAAAATCTGTCCATCAGTTAAGAAAACTATTTTGATGAACCAGAATTTTAAATGATTGACGATTTTCATCCCCTCATTTTACCAAGGACAAACCAACATCCTTTCCCCAGAAACCTTATTATGCTGAAGCACTTTAAACCCCACTGTGAAGTCATGTTTAACTGCTGATCATAGAGGAAATGAAAAGAAAAATCCTTTTTTTAATCACTCTCTTGTTAAAAATGCCAAAAATGGCGTAAAGTGAAGGAAGTCTGAGTTTTTACTGAAGTTTCTGAATAATTACATTTTAATAGACTTAAAATTATAGTCAAGCCCACTGGTAAATAACATTTTTTAAGCATCATATGGCTCTGCACACTTAGATTGTTTTATTAAAATGTTTCTAGTTTATTCTAATATCATGCTATAAATGTTACAAATACAGCAAGACACATTTACTCTCATCTTGCTCAGAGACAGCGTGAGACGGCGTTCTCTCAGCGTGAGGCTGCGACACCGACAAGCTGCAGAAATCTAAACATGATGTGGCAAAACGTCAGAGAAAAAATAAAACCAAATCTGAACAAAAACAGATTACTAACACAACAACTGAGGATTAAAACACAACTACAGAATTAAAACCAGTCCAGGAGGTCGATTGTAGTTTCTGAAGGTGGATGGAAAGGGTGCAGGACTGACGCAA